GGACACTATTTTGAAGATAAAATTCTTAGTTTAAGCAGAGGAAGTAAAAAGTAAAGCATTCAGTAAGTTCCCACAGCCTTCCGCTGGCCCTCATCATACCTGAAGGTGTGAATAGAAAAAGTTAAATGTTTCCATACAGAATTTTAATATGGTGCCTAGTAAAATAATATCCCCAATGGCCTACTATTCCTTCAAGGCATGTTCTAACTTTTAGTTATGTCTCACAGTAGCTTTGGGACAAGCAAAATCATTTTGCTTATTTTTCCCCCCTTCCCCGAGAGAAGAGAGGATTGGAATACTTTCAGATACTTGTAGCATGTTTTACTTAACTGATTAGTGAGGGAACCGACAGGGAAGATGTAAAGAACAGTTTCCCCAGGTTCTTGCAGGGTAAATGTATATGTGTGTGTGTTTGGCAAAAGAAAAAAAAAATACTAGGTTAGATACAAATCTGATTAACCTTCTACGAGGCAATAAAACTATAACTCCTCTGTAAAAGTTCTACCAGGTTACAAATCATAGAAACCTATTAATATCTGCAAATTACCCTTAGTTTTACAGGACTGCACATCATTGTGCTTTATCAATTGTGGCTTGTTGGTCAAATATCCTATGACAATAAAGTCTCATTCCCAAGAATATCAGGTGAGAGTGGAGCAGGTTGCTTGCAAACTGCTCTATCACCTGAATACTCAGTGATATTTGGACTGGCAGCTGTGGTATCACTGGGGAGTGTGAAAGGAATGCAGAGTCTCAGCCTATACCTACATGTTTAAAATCAGAACCTGGCTATAGATTGAATGTTTGTGCCCCCCAGAATCCATATGTTGAAAACCTCCTGCCTAATGTGATGCTCTCAGGAGATGGGGCCTTTAGAAGGTGACTAGGTCATGAAGGCTCGTGAACGGAATTAGTGCCCTCATAAAAGTGGCCCAAGAACGTTCCCTTGTCACATCTGCCAAGTGAGATTACAGTGAGAAGATGGCTGTCAATGAGGAAGTGGGTCCTCACCAGACGCTAAATCTGCTGGCACCTTGATCTTGGATTTGCTAGCCCCCAGAACTGTGAGAAAGACATGTCTGGTGTTTATAAGCCACCAAGTTTATGGTATATTTGTTATAGCAGCCCGAACAGACTAAGACAACCTGTATTTTAACAAGACATCTGTGTGATTCATGTGCACATTGTGAAGTCTCAGAAGTGCTGTTTTATAACGATATTTTTAAAGATCAGGCTCTTAAACAGTTCTCTTTCCAGGTTTGAGATACATATTTTTTCCACCACACTTGCTACAGGCCACACTAGGTCAGTGGTTAGCCCAGATCTCAGCCCTCAGAATGAGCCCCCAATTCTAGTCACTGGGCCTAGAATGACAAAGTTCTTTCGGCCAGCTCCAGGCAGATCGTCACCCTCTGTGCAGCAGTCAGCTTCTCCTGCTTCTGGATGAGGCTTTGGGATTAGGGTTTCTGTAGGAAGTCAACAGGGCACTTTGTTTGGGACCTCGTCCTGCCACTGTATGTGCTGGTGCTTTACACGTATTATCATGTTAACCCTCACAAGACTCATACAAGGAGGCGTCACTGTCCCCATTTTCAGAGAAGTGCCCAAGGTCACATGATTAGAAAACACACAGGTGGGAATTGAAATCAGCATAATTACAAACCCTTCCTTCTATGTGGTCTCCTGTCACTTACCCACTGTAACCTGCGGTTTTCTTATCTAATTCAACTGGACGAGCTACACACATCCTTCTACCTCTAAAATCTTTGGATTCCTTGATATATTGAACTCTTATGAGCTTCACTGCTGATTAAGAGGAATTCTGTAATAATAAAATAAACTCTTCAGAGCTCCTCTCTACTGTTTGAGTACCCAGCCTACAGTTCTCACAGCATTTATTACAGTTTTTTTTTAAAGCAGCTGTTTACTTATCGGCTTCTTCTGCTTGTAACTATCTTCTGAGGAGGAGGTGATTGGGCTGCTGTGGCTTATTTATGTTTATATCCCCAGAAGTTAGTAGCGTTTTTTTATATATATTTAGTTCTCAATAAATATTTATGGAAGTACATGACACTAGTGGACGCAAAACTAGACTAGGAAACCCTTCAATTGTAGGACTCAAGTGTTCAAGTCAACAGTTAATATAAATCCATCATGTTTATATCCACATATTTGTATTCATAAAATAAAGCCACCATTCTGTTGCACAGTGGAGGATTTATTTCACACATCAATTCTTTCAAATGGGCAGGGGTCTTCTGTTCTCTATTTTCTCTGCTCAGTGGAACAATAAGTCTGAAGGAAAGAGGCATACGTGATAGGAGAACTTAATGGCAGTATGACAACCATTGATCTAGTTACAAATGATAGTTTTGAAAACGGAATGTGTAAGTTTTTCATAGGGTTAATTAAGAACAGGGGTTCTCAGCTGGGGCCCATTTAGCCCCGTGAGGGACATTGGGCAATGTCAGGAGACATTTGTGGTCGTCAAAACCAGTGGAGAAGTTGTACTGCCATCTAGTGGGAGAGGCCAGACATGTTGTGAAATATCCTACAATGCACAGAACAGCCTCCAAGAAAGAATTATCCCACCCCAAATGTCAGTCGTGCTGAGATTGAGAAACCCTGCTTTAGATAGACCCTCAAATAGTGCTGGGTTTTTAGCACATTCTTTTCGGTTGAGTGCTTGACTCAGCACATGACCTCTGACATCCTCGGCATCTCCATGATTGAATAAAGAGCATCATTGTCTAATGGCGATCCAGACGCACCATATGTCCCAGGGCTGCCCTCTGAATCAGCAACAGTGTGAACCCCTCAAGGGCCTTCTCTTCTCGGAGCCTACCAGAGTGCCCACCGTCCAAACAGGTCACTGTATGTGCCACTGATCTGTTTATATATATGCACATCACCCATAACTAGGCCACATATTCCTTGCTGGCAGAGAACATGTTTTTTCATTACACCCATTGGCCACCATTTCCCATAATTCCACCTTAAAATGCTTTGTCACTCAGGGCATGATAATGATGCCCTCTTTTTGGAATTCAATGGTTAAACAGTTGTTTACCTGTAAATATCCTCTATGATAAATTGCAACTAGACAGAATGTGTAGTCACCAGAATCATCCATTTTTCCACCATTCTGGATAAATTGGGATTCATATTATTTGGCGTTCAGATCTGTGTTCCTGGGGTCAGAGTTTATGTAAGTTTAAATGTTTAGGGTTAGAAATAGAGAATTCCTTAAGCTCTGTTTTCTTCCTTGATTCTCTGACTTGTGGGGATGTTGTCTTTATCTGGGAAATAAAATGGAGCCTTCACTCACACGAGAAAAATAAAAACAAACAAACAGAAAGCTGATCTGACTAGGTAGATATTTGTCTCTGGTAAGGCATGATGGGAGGTTGATATGTATAGGTATTTGCCAGAGGATCAGCCCTACGAAAGTTTGTGATGTAGGTAGAAGGTGTGTTTGGCATTCATCTGCTTACTTCCCCGGACAACCTCCCACCCCACGGTACATCCCTGCTGCAGCCCGGTGTTCTCAGTCATCACTGGTGCCTGCTGCCAGGAGGACCATCTGAGGAGCACTTAGTATTGTGGCGCTGAGACATACAGTGTCTTGTCCGTACCAGGAGCACTTGCTTTTTAAAACAGGAACCCAAAAGAATGAATCGCTAATGGTAGAATTTCAAATATTAGACCATAAGGGCAGGATCGATTTTGAGAAGTCCTTCCTCCCTCAGGTCACACTGTCTTTAGGTGTAAGCAGGTAAAGAAAGCACCAGAAAGACTTCAGGTCCAGGTCCTGTGAGAGGATAAGATTTTTAAAAATTCATATTTAAGCTTTTGTTTTTATTTTTCTGTGGCTGTCAACTGGGAACCAGTACCTTTAGCTTTTTTTAAATTTTATTTTACTGAGTATAGTTGATTTACAATGTTTCACGTGCACAGCAAAGTGATTCAGTTATACATATATGTGTATATACTTTTTCAGATCCTTTTTCATTATAAGTTATTGCAAGATATTGAATATAGTTCCCTGTGCTGTACAGTAGGTCTTTGTTATCTATTTTATATACAGTAGTGTGTATCTGTTAATCCCAAATGCCTAATTTATCCCTCCACCCACCCCTTTAGCTTTTCATAGATGAAAGAAGACAGATTCTAAGGCTGTTAGGTCTCTGCAAACTTGTGTCACCCTAAGAAGCTTATTAATAGATCAACAACAATACATAATTATATTTTATTGCAGTCAGAAACTGGTTTTCTTTGGAGCCCTTTAGGGCCAGGAATTTTAGCTCTTAAGCAGTGTTGAGAGTGCAGTTTAGAAAACTGTAGGACTTCAGATGGTGGTACTATTTACTAAGCGCTTACTACGTGTCTGGCACTAGTCCATTTTCCAGTCGTGACCCTACCAGTAGGTTGCTTTTTTTTTTTTTTTTTTTTTTTTTAAAGAAGATGTTGGGGGTAGGAGTTTATTAATTAATTAATTTATTTTTGCTGTGTTGGGTTTTCGTTTCTGTGCAAGGGCTTTCTCTAGTTGTGGCAAGCGGGGGCCACTCTTCATTGCGGTGCGCGGGCCTCTCACTATCGCGGCCTCTCTTGTTGCAAAGCACAGGCTCCAGACGCGCAGGCTCAGTAGTTGTGGCTCACGGGCCTAGTTGCTCCGTGGCATGTGGGATCTTCCCAGACCAGGGCTCAAACCCGTGTCTCCTGCATTAGCAGGCAGATTCTCAACCACTGCGCCACCAGGGAAGCCCCTAGGTTGCTTTTTTATTATCATCCCCATATGACAAGTGAGGAAGTCCAAGGTCACAGCAAGTGCATGCTAGAGCCAGGCCTTGAACCCATGCTTCCTGGCCAAGGTGTCTTAGCTTCTCCCATCGTAGCCAGGCTGCCTACGCTGTCCTCAGGGAGCTTTCCCGCTGAAGGAAATGGAAAGAGAAGATGCTTCTAAATAATGCTAATACAGCTCTTGCTTGCTTGCTTTGCAGGTTTGGGAGGTGCCCTGGGTTACCTTTTGGGTGCCATCGACTGGGCCCACCTGGAACTGGGAAGACTGCTGGGCACAGAATTCCAGGTCATGTTCTTTTTCTCCTCGTCGGTGCTCACTTTGTGTTTCATTATCCATCTGTTCAGTATCCCTGAAGCCCCACTTAGAGATGTTGCCAAGGACATTCCCCCACAGCAAGCCCCTCAGGACCTTGCATTGTCATCAGACAGAATGTATGAGTATGGGTCTATTGAGAAAGTTAAAAATGGTTATGTACACCCAGAGCTGGCGCTGCAGGGAGAAAAAAACAAAAATCCTGCTG